TTTTGCGTTTATCAACTATTATCTTATGTTAGTATGTTATCCATCACAACACTTCACTTTGCGTTTATCAACTATTATCTTATCTATCACAAAACTTTGAATAAACTTGATAGGCATGGTAGCAACAAAATTTCCCACATAAATCCTTTAATTTCACAAATAATCCTTCAATAAGTAATCTATTTATTTTTTAGGAAAATGATAAATGCAAGGAAAGATTAAAAATAATTGATTATTAATTGCATTGATTGACACATGCTTTTGACATAAATTCTCAAATTTATACCAATTTCCTACTCTTTATAGTAATGTTTATTACATTTTGTTAAGTTATCCTCCTCCTATGGTCAGCAAACGGGTTAAAACTTTAGCTTGTAACTAGTACAAGTATTTACTTTTCCATTTATGGTAAAATATGGAGTACTTACTACTGTTTAATAAAAATGATGATGTTGTTATTGAAACATGGATCTTGCCATTTTGGTAGAGCTAGTCAACAAACTTTGGCATGATACGACACAATAGACACGTGCACATGGACACGTCAATGGGTTATGAGTAATGTACATGTAGGCACGAAAATTTAAATTTATCACTTTCATAATCTGTAGAGATTATTTTTGGGCTTGTGACACAATAGTCGGTAAAGATTAGAGCTGGGCATGGGCCGGGCCGGCCCACGGGCGGCACAGGCACGAGCACGGTAGCGGCCCGACACAGCACGAACTCGCTAGCGGCACGACACGTCACGAGGAACGAGGGGTGGACCGTGGGTCGTGCCGTGAACAAAAAAATAAAAATTCGTCACAAACTTGGCACGAGCCCGCGGGCGGCACGAACTTTTGGCCCGCCAGCAAAGGCCCGCGGCACGGCCTGCCAGCACGACCCATAATAATAAAAATAATTTAAAAAACTATAAATAATAAAAATAAAAACAATAAAAAGAAATATTATAAAAATAAAAATAATAAAAAGAACCATAATAATATAAAGAATTATGAATAATATATAAATATTAAAATTAATTAATTAATAATAAAAATAATGGGCTGGCCCGCGGCCCGGCCTCCCAGGCACGTGGGCCATGCCATGGGCTGGGGTGTGTCATTTGGTGGCCCGGCCCGGCACGGCCCGCCATCACTCAGGCCTGGCACGGCACGACCCTCCTCCTGGCACGGCAAGGGCACAGCCTGCTGCGGCCCAGCACAGCACGATGCCCAGCTCTATACTAGTAAAGATGCAGAATTACAAGTAGGGAGAAATACTTAATAGTTATAATATTCTGTTCTATTCTATTTATAGTATAGGATTTTGTTAACGAACGTCCCCTGGACGTTAGATAAGCATTTAAAATATTTTCTAAAATCGTATTAATTTAAGAATACATGTGTAAAAACCTGATTGTGTCTCCCCAAAAACCAAACCCAGTGATGAGTACCTTTCACGTCTTTGATTATCGAGTTAGGTGAAGAGTTGAAGAGTCTAGTGAAGTTTCATTTAGCCTTAACCATTTCTAACCTTTTCTAAAATTTTTTAAGCCAAAATCATTCATTTCGTGCCTTTAAACACTAAATCATTCATTTCGTGTCTTTAAACCAAAATCATTCATTTCGTGTCCTCTATATAAAAACGCCCAAACCAGTCTATTTTGGTCAATGATCAATTATTGTGTAGTAGGATGGGGCTTGAAAAGAGCTTCCAATGATATATTATTATAAGTCCGAATCCGACTTATAACGAAGAAGTTATGGCTACAATACTAAACCGAGCCTAAATCGGACCTAGGTCCATCTTACCTACGATCCAATGATCATGAGGAGGGTCCAGTATCTTATTTCAATCCTAAACCAATTAGGATTCATTAGGAGCTTCTAGAATTCTCTAGAAGGTTATAATTTATCCTTTCCCCAAAAGATAACGATTAAAGAATTTGATATTGAATAAAACATCTATTTTTTTATAAGTCCTAATTCCGTCAAAACTGAATTTTGTGCACCATAATTTTTATCCAAATCTTAAATGTTTGGATATCCCTTGATATTATCTTTCCAATGATATATCATAATCCCAATTCCGAGCTATAACGAAAAAGATATGATTAAAATACCAAACTCTATCCAAAACTGACACTGTTCCACTATTTTGACCATATCTTTTATTCTACAAAAGATATAAATCTGATTCTAATTGGGATCAAAAGTATACTTCTAGAGCTTTCCAACGATATATTATTTATCTTATTCCGATTTCTGGATAAAAAGTTATGATAAAAACAAAAACCGCAAAACTGCAGGGTTATAGCGTCGCGACAAGTCTGTCGCGCCGCGATGGAACCTTTTTTATTCTGATCTGAATTCTGACTCTTTTCTAATCCTTCGACCCTGTTTTTTCTTATAAATTGAGGTCGTTTCACCCCATTTTCAATCATCAACAAGCTTGATCACCAACAATCATCATCAAATCCCTTCTCTAATACTTTCCCTCTCTCTCATGATTCTTTTCTTAGCCTTAGCCTAAACATGTCCTAACATACACATCCTTGATATTTTTCCTAAGAAAACACCATACCTCCTTCACGAGCTTCGAATACTCCTAGCCAACCTCGAAGTTGCTTTCGACCTCGACGTAAAAAGTTGATAGTTCTAAGGGTTTGGTCCCAAATCTATATTTCAATTCTTATTTGAATTATTTACTTTATTGATTTAATCTTTCTTGAAGTTACTAACGTCTGTATTGTTTTGATAGAAAGAGATACGAGGCATCAAAGTGAGTAATTCAATTACTTAACCCTTGGTTTTAATATAGAAATCAAGCTTAGAATATTATTTTGATTCCTAGTATCATGTTTATGGTGTTAATTAATATTTCTAATATCATGTTGATTCTTAGTATCTTGTTTAAGCCAAATCTTTGATCTTTGTTATTAGTGACATGCTAGGGTTTGTTATTAATCCGTTTAGTATCATGCCTAGGATCTTGCTAATCATCACGTTTTGATGTTTTGATTATGATGATTGTTGTGTTAATCATATATTGTTTGATTATTCATTATTTATGGTTATTGCTTGATCACGCCTCTTTTTATAGGTTTAAAGGGAATTTGTACTTAAAATCACGCGTAATAAGATAGTTAATAATTTGATTTAGGGTAATATGATTTTAATACAAGTGATTGCCAATATTAGATTTATTTGTGCATTAATAATCAACCAACATAGATTAAGCAGGTTTAGGATTAACTTGATATATGTATGTTGATCGGAAAGCGCACATGAATATCATAAGAATTAAGTAGAGGCCGATTTAGGGCGGGTTCAATCTCTTTTAGGTTGGATTTTTATCATCATCCCCGAATATCCAGTCATGGTTCCGAACCACTATGGAGTTAGCGATCTCCGTGATCGTGAATGGGGTGTAACCTTCACACCCCTGAACGATTTACAAGTTCCTAAAACTTGTTGGCGATTCTTTTATCTCTAGCATCTTTCCGTTTGGACGTCACCATGCCTAAAAGTATGATCATAGTGGGGCTCAAAGTTGAGTTTGAAAAATTCCCTACAACATGCCAAATTCACTCGTCGATCAATATAATTAAATATATTTACTTTTACTGAACTTATCCAACTCCACGGGACATTCGTTTGTTTTTGCCTATAGTATATCCAAATATGTATCATATATGAAGTAGAAGCAGGATTTATTTTGGTTTGTGAAGCATCATTTCCACATAATAACATTTTTTTTTTATTTTTCAAAAAAGCCTACTCAGCCAATTTAAGAGTACTAGACAATAAGACGTATTGTCTCCGGGCCAAAATTCAAACATAAGTATTTACAATTTTACAAAGGCTCGTAAGGCCCTTGGGCCAAAGCAATCATCAACTTTATGACCCATCTTATTTCTTCAGAGTATGGTCCATTGGTGTCGGGCCCAAATACTCATTGATCCAGTAGCTCATTCTCATCTGAAGTCTAAAGTATCATGCTATCAGCCATGTAAACAATTACAAGCAGTGGATATTATTTTACACAAATCTCAAAAATTTTAAATCCATGGAAAAGGTAGGAATAGGTCAATATTTGGAAGTAGATAGGCCTACAAATGTTATTACCTCCATTCTTTAATAATAGGGTTTTTCTATACACTAACTTTCTTGATTTTACTTTTCTACGTTGTGCCCTTGCATATAGCGAATTACACATTGTAATCCGTAAGTATAATTGGTAATTATACAGTAACATTGTCGTTATCCCGCCGTTAACAAATTCCGTTGTATTGTTTAATCGCCGTTAGTGGGGCCCACTCTCCACTTATATTAATATATTTTTATCGATTTGTGTATTGAAAAATATTCCGTTAAAGATTTTTGAGGTTATTTTGGCTCTTATGGGTATAAATTGAGCTCAAATTTGACAAAAAAAAAAACGTAAATGTCTTGTTTTGCGTGTTAAGAAATATCTCAATTTACATGTCATTATTTTTTTAGCAATGGAAATCTACTTTCGCAACTCACCTCTCACATCCACTCGTATACAATTACGAGTACATCAAATAACTACTTTTACCAAACAAACTAATCCCAATCGTTACAAGTAAAAAAAAAACTTGGAGATGGAATTGAGTTTGGTTACAAGTTAACACTACCGTAGGGAGTAGGGGAGGTTGAGGGTAGCATTAATGGTAAGGACAAGGGCAAATAAATTGGGTCTGAGTCTGACTAACAAAAAATGTAATTGCATTGCGTTTATCACTGCAATTGTCTGCTCCTACACACACTCTACCCTTTCATTTTATTGCCATTTTCATCTTCTCTCTCTTTCTCCATTTAATGCTCTCCCATCTCTCTCTTAACTAACCAGTTTTCATTCAATGCCCTCTTCTCTCGGTCACTTACCACTTATTTTAAATATTCAACGCCCAAAAACATTTTAATTCCATTTATTCATAAAATAAATAATGAAAAGGACAAAAGTATGCCTTAACTAGTATTGTAGTACCATTTCGCAAAAGTTTACTAGAAAGGATTACTATGTTACATCGACTCTTCAATAGTACCCGTACATATACATTTTACTACTAGTACCACGGTTTTACAATTTTTTACTGTGTCTAACAAATTTTGCAACGACTCTTCAATGTTCAATAACATAGGCACCCCGACATAGATATCGACACTCAGATGCTTGATTTTGCAATAAAGCATGTCATGTTCCAAAAATGACCAAGTGCGATACTTAGACATGTGCCTGTGTTAAATACTTAATACCACGTACTATTTGAGCCTAGTCAATGTATTGTAACATACTGATACTACCATACTACCAGAAGAAATGTTACTTATTTCTAATAGTTTTAACTAATTACTACAATTAAACTAAACTACCTAATTAATCACTCTTCTTTGAGCTGCAACTTGCTAACTTCAGAACTGAGACTGGTAGAAAGCTGTTGAGAAGATTCAGGAGGCGAAATTACAGCAGCAGAAGAAGAAGATTCATCTTCTTTTATCAAAGGTTTAACAGGAGGAGCTGCACAAACTGGGATTACTGATCTAATTTGAACCGCAGGCGCAATCCCTTTAAGATTACTGTTATAATTACCCATGATACCCATTTGAGCACAGCTTAACGACGATCCCAAAAACAAGTTCCTGTAATGGGTTTCGCCTTGTTGCTGAGTGGTGGAAATAGTCGATCTTACGACGCCATTAAGTTTACCATGACACACATGATCACCTTCATTGAGGTTGACATTTGTGGTGCTAGTCTTTAAAGTCAAAGGCAGGATCTTTGACATTGTTCTTGGTGGTGGTGGTGGTAAAAGATCAACAAAACTACTGCTTTTTTGCTGTGAAGTTGAAATTTCTGAAGGATTTTTCAAGGGTAAAGTTGTAAAATACTTGTGTGTATCATCTGATCTCCAAGTTCTTGCATTTCTTGATGATCTTCTATGATGATTACGATTATAATGATGACTATGATAATCCCTTTGTTTTCCTGTTTTCTGAGATTTGAAACTTGATAAAACCCTGGCAACAATCACTTGATCTTGCTTTCCTACTCCAAGATTGTTATTTTCTGCTGTTTCTATCTTTGGAAACAAACTTGGCACTGCATAACACAAAGTCACAAACATAACAATTAATCATCATAAAACCCGTGCATCGGCTAATGTAACAATTAAATAGGGACGGAGGGAGTAATACTTAAAAGTCGATAAATATATATACTTGTACACAGGCTACATACTTCTTTTCAAAGTAGACCAAGCAGATATAGCAGCATTTTTCTCAGCTTGCTTCTTAGTTTTAGCTGATTCACCAGTAAAACTCATACCAGCAAGCTCAACAGTACATGTGAAAACAGGAACATGCCCTGGTCCTGTTCTTATAGTTGTATAAACAGGCAGATTAAGTCCTGCTTTGTGAGCTGTTTCTTGCAAAAGGTTCTTGTACACTCCTGTCTCATCCTTCCCAACAACAACAACAACAACAACAAATAAAGACGGGATTTAATAACACCCCCTTGGCTCATAATTAATTGTCACGTTGATAGTCTAATTTTAAAAAAAACGGTAACATGACAACTAACTCCGAACAAAGACTGTATCATATCATAATTAAATGAAATAAAAATAGGAGCGTACAAGAACTCTAGCGGTAAGGGACTTGGACCCTCTAGAAGAGAGTAGATTAAGGGCAACTTCAGCAGCAGCATGTTCAGCTTGTCTTAAAGTAGGTGAATAACCTGGACTTTCAAATATTTCTCCATTAAAATTAACTGAAGCTTTGAATCTAGGAGCATGATCTGGTCCTTCTCTTCTGCAAGCATAAGATGGTAGATTGAAGCAGCTTCTTTGTGCTAATTCCTGAAGTTGATTCTTGAACATATTTTTTTATATGATTCTTGTATTTATGTTATATAAACCTTGTAAAAAAAAAGAGAGAAATTCAAATATGAGTAAGTAGACATGCATAAATGCAAGACAATTGAGATAGTAGAATGTACTTAGAAATAAATAACTATTACTACCAACAACAGTAGGAAGAGTAAATGAGCTAAAATAAAACTGGTGAAGAAATGAGTATAAAAAGGGAGTGAATTGTATAAGAATGAAACAAACCTGCTATTTTTTTCTTTTCTTTCTCTTAAATTCTGTTTCTATGAAGATGACTTTACTCCCACATTTGCATGGAGATTGATTGTTGGAAGTACTCTTCAAGTTAATAATAATAATATGGTAGAGAGAGGGATAGGAGATAGGACAGCTGACCAATAACAAAAATATTTTCCCATGTTTGGACGTTGTAATGATCTGACCTCTCGATAAAAAGTTATTTTTGTTTGAACGGTAATTGTCTTATTTATAAAAAAAGTTAAAACAGAAAGAACTGTTAAAGATGAAGGGAGTAGATGTTTCTGTTTATCATAAAATAGGTATTATATAATGTGTGAAGATTTAAAACGATGCATTACTACTTCGGGTTTTTTGTATTATAATAGTGTTAGTTATTTTACGAGATACAATGAGTATCCAATGCCACATAAAATTATCTGGTATACATGTCATAAAAATCTAAGCAGCCATAAGATTAGATTATGATGATTAAACTGACCAAATCATGTGAAATTTTTTACTAATATCAATATCAAAGTCAAAGAGAAAAATTATTTTGAATGGAAGATTACTATTTACAATAACCATAGAATAAAATTGTTTGTATTGAGACATTGACTTTCCCAATGCAAATAAAAGCACATTTTCCAAACAATTTTTCAAAATTCTGAAAAATTAAAATAAATTAAAAGTAAATTTTCCTCTTCGCTTTCTACTAGGCTAAAAAAAAAAAAAAAAAAAAAAAAAAAAAAAAAAAAAATCATAGCTTACGCATTAATGTCAATTTCAATCAACGTGTCTGTTTCTTTCTCTTTCCTTTGTCTTATTTAAGTGGATAAGTTATTACCCAACAAAAGGTTGTCCATGTGTTGACCAAACTGGTACCTTCCAAAGTATTGACTTTCTGATTCATATTTTTAATGACACCATCTTTTCTTCTGTTTTTCTTTTATTTATTTATTATTGTCTGTTTAACATATAGTCCATCTTTGTCCGCATAATTCTTTGATTTTCTTTTTTGTTTTCTTTTATCTCTGCTCTCTTCTGTCTTAAATCATCATAGGGCCATTTTTTTTTTTTTTTTTTTTTTTTTTTTTTTTTTTTTTTTTAACATTCTATCGTTCAAGATTATGCATAAGGATTAAAGATTCACGAATACTAGTTATTACACTAGTACTTGTTTTTAAATGTATGGAGCTGTACAACTATGAAGCGCGAAGTTGGAAACATAATTAAACTCTTGTATGGCTTTAAGGAAGCAGTTGTCCAGGTATTTTGGCGCAGATTGTTAAGTTGCATTGAAAGGAGAATCAGAGAAAGTAAGAGAAGTGTGAGTGAGGCTGAGAATACAAGCAAGAAGTGAATACAATACAAGGACCACAAAGGTGGAAGGAAAGAGAGAATTCATACATCACACCTGTATCTATGATTTCAAACAGCAGTTTTCGACGACTGAATATCAACACCACTAAGGAAAAACAAATTGAGCCCTACAAATTCACATACAAGTTAAACGTGCTGTTGAATTGGATGACCAAGTTTCCTGAATCACGCCCCGGCCAAACACATACCCCACTAACAATAGAACACACTGATGTAATGAAAAACTTTTACTTAATCCCCTGGGGTTGTCACAATTCACAACTTAATATCTGTATGCTGATTCCCGGCAGGCATCGCAGTAGTGCTGCTGCCACCTACTCTAGCTGCCAATGCAAGAACTTCGGGTGACATTTCCCAGTTCCCACTCTGCCTTCCCCAACTAGAACGTCTAGGGTGTAGTCCACCACGCTCCCCAATTTCATCTACATGACCTCTTGTTTCTGGAGATGCTTCGCCTAATCTTCCATCTTTGATATTTAGGATGTCATTGTCGCTTACTTGTCCTTCACCAGATTCAAGGCCTGGCCCAAATTCTCCACCCCATGTTGCCTTTCGGCCTATCTCTATGTCATCTGTGCCCTTTCCCATGCTTGGGCTGACAAATCCTGCTCCCATTGGCCGGGCTGATGGAGGAGACTCCCTAGGCACCAAGGCCCTGAAGTTGTTCTTTGATGGGGGAATACTTGTGCAAAATATTTCCTTGAAATTCTCCACCACTCCCTTGTTGTATGGGTTAGCCCGTCGATCATATCTATATCTGAAGTTTTCATATGTCGTCTGCAAAGACAGGCATTGAGAGGGAGCAATCCCAATAGTCATTAGAATCAAGCACTGAGAGGTGTCAACTACAAAACTCGCAAAGTTTAAATTCATAGAATGCATTACCTGATTTGTACTTATCAGATACAAGTGGAAGGCCGTAAGGCCACCCACAAACCAAACTGCGATGAATGTATAAACTATGAGAACAATGGAGGCAGGAGTCTTAATCATAGCCTTCCATATTGATATCTCTTCTGCGTCCATGATCCTCTTGATGTAGACCCAGCAAAATGCAAACACATATATACACAAGATTGTAGTTGTAGAGACAAACATGAAGAAGAATCGATAATTTCTCTGCAAAAAGTAAGCTATCATGTAAGCATATGCACCTTCTCAAGATTCCATCATCACAGGAAAGCAGGCACCATACAAGTGAGAATAATGACCTGCAGAGTACATAGTATGATATTCCTCCAATTTCAAAGGTGCTCAAAACATGTGAATTATCATAAAATGTACCAAGATTTTTACAAAAAACACAACATTCATGCCCCCCCAAAAAAACCTTATCTTACAATAAAATTATAAAAAGGTACTCCCATTTTATTGTCCACTTTCTTTAACAGATAGCATATTTCTTTTTATCGCCTTTCAATAATTCCTACCATGCTAACACACAATCTTAATACCTGTAAAAAATTCAACCATACACTTAGCACAGCACTATAAGTCAGTAAAACATTCCTTATACCACTCAAAATTGCAAAAAGTTATTCCCAAAATTCCTTTTTAAAATAAAAACCCGAGAGCTCAATAAAAACGAGTAGTCCTTAAAACATTGAAATTCCAACAAGAATGTCTTTATCAGATATTGCATCTAAGAAAAGTGTCATAAACGTAAAAACTATTACTGTGAAAGTATTCCGGCGGCAGGAGAAAAAATTGTAACAGCATGTAACTCGTCTCATGTTACCAAAAAAAAAAAAAGTGGGAAGACAATAAAAATTTATATAGGGCATAAAGCTAAGAATACAACATTTTTAAAACGAACAAACAAGAGCACAATATTTTGCATCACATTGCATATTTCTAAACACAGACTCTACATCCCCACGTATCACCACAAGGATGATGCATAGCAGCAATATTGGCAGAAAAGCCACTATAAGATACCTATAACCAAGCACTAAGTACTCACCAGCCCAATGCATTGCCCGACCCATGGACAATGATGATCAAATCTTTCCACACAATTGTTGCAAATTGAACAATGAGAGCAACGAGGAGGTCTGTAAAGCATGCAAGTATCACAGTATTTAATTTTCACTGGGATGCCATTGACCTCTACTTCTTTAATTCGCGGCAATCGTAGCTGTGGTGTCTGGGCGCCCCCAGTTTCAGCACTTCCATCAAAACCTTCAGGTTCTGGAGGGTGCGCATTGCGAGGTATTATACCAGGATCTCTTCCAGAAGTAAGTAAAAGGAGAACTAAATCCTGGAGAAAAAGAAAAGAAGCGTAAAATTTCAACATACCACAGATTTTTCTGAAGATATATAACGTAGGATCAAATTCAATACAAAAATTCAGATTTCAACAAGAACAAATGACTGGAATGCCAAAAAGGATCATTTTTGCCACAAATGGTAACAAACTTACAACCAATAATTATTCGGCCAACAGTAGTGATGACTTATGACGTCATACATTACACAACCTTACACTTCAGCTTGGTGGAAAATTGGCAGCAGTTCTTTTAAAAATGGAAAACTAGTTTTTACGTTTACTAATCTAAGCAGCCAATTAGAAACATCTACAAATTTCAGGACAATAAAGAGCCAAACAGCAAGTTACCAGATTTTACCTCAATCACATCAAGCTGCAAAAAAGGAAAACTGCATAAATTCAACATGTGTCTTATCAAGCTACTTTACTCAAACTCTTCATTTCACCTCAAATACTTGGGTAATATCATCAACACTCCAACATAGATAAGGCCAGGCACACTACACTTTTTATAACATAGCCTAAGTCTGAGACTTGGACATGTAGGCATGTAGTTGTGTCAATCATGAGTCCAGGAAACTTAACTAATCAAAAGCACTGCAACTCACTTACTACTGAATGAAAATAATACAAGACGCATATAAAAAATGCTTGGTAGATTAGCAACGTTCAATTAGTCATATAAGGCACGACAAATTTTCTCATAATGTGAGCTCAATGCGTAGTGATACGTAATTTTGGAGGCACCACACCTTCAGCCTTCAGGTCAGTTAAACCTTAAACATGAGAAAGACAGTATAAATATGATGGAATTCAAATACCACCAAAGAACAGTGGAAGTGTGGAACACAATGCATACAAAGATGTCTGTATATACAGTTGTACCAGGAACATTCATTTCAGTAAACAGGAATACAACATATTCCATGCAATTAATAAGTGCATGATCCGGTATTAATTGATACAATGATCAAGCATTCAAGTTATTTTCCTTACAAGTTGAAGAGATATAATAGGTAATCTTCAACAGACATTGTGTTATGTTATAATGGTTGGCAAGAATGGTGTAAAATCTATGCAAAAACCCATTCAAAATAATAAATAGTCCCCATCTCATAGCAGTTTGCTAGGAAATAAAATCTGGACAAAATCAAGGAGAAAGGTGCATATGATGAATCAAAGGGGAGAAAATTCAATAGGAAATACTTTGCAGATAATCAGATACTGCGTAAGGTTGTAATACGTGGTAAATAGGTAAAAATTTATGCAGTAACCATCCGACAAAATGGAGAAAGGAGCAGAAGGAACAGATAGAAAAAGAAATTAATGAAGGGGCAAGAGAGAAGATGCCACTTTTACATGATTCGATGTCTTAGCAATTTGATGACCAAAATGGGTAAAAGAATCAAACCCACCTCGTTTGGAGGTAAGCTAAGCAAAAGATTCCAGAGAGAGAAACAGCAAAGAAAGGGCCTCAAATGAGAGATAATTGTAGGTAAGCTAACAAAAGCATCAGAAAGTAGCAATTACACTTGTTTTGACGAAGAAAATGACTGCTAAGCCCAAAGATAGATCTAATTTAACTAATTTCTGAAGGTCAACATAGTATCATAAACCTATTTTCAGAACAACAAATACATCGTTTGGGAGACAACCTTATCTACACAGCACCCTCTGCTATTTATACTTTCCAACCATGTTTCCCACTCCTAAGGTCTACAGCTAAGATTAGTGTATTTGTCAAAAGTGATTTAACAGAATGAAGTTACTTCAAAGACATAGAATCCAGCCTCTTTTTATTGTGATAATCTCAAAGGGATGTTCCACAATGTCATGCACATATAAGTAAAATGGTTTTAACTTGCCTAAACCCAAAAGAAGAGCAAAGAAAAGGTACAAGGACTCAATACAACCTGATGTACAAAGGGACTTGTTCCAAACAATTAACTGAAGGAAAAACACAAATTTGATGCATCCCTCCATCTTATTTACAGCCTGGGGCCCACTTTGGACAAGGATGCAAATTAAAGCAAATGCAAACAATCCTTATAAAGGAATGAAAAAGAAAGAAAAGGGTAAATAGAAAGCTACTTAAAGCATTGTAACAATTAGCGTGCAAATGTATAGGCAAATAATCGAATTGACCACAAGAAAGGAATGAAAAAGAAAGAAAAAGGTGTACAGAAAGTTACTTATGGCATTATAACAACTTAAAAGTAAATGTATTAGCAAATAATTGAATTGACCACAAGATTATTCAGGAAATTCTGGATCTTCAACCATTCACAATGCCCCGAAGTATTTCAGTAATTGATATCATAAGCTAACATATCATGCAAGATACTTCGTATAATTTATCATTCATTCCATGAAGCTTCGGCACGGACAGCACAGGTCATGCTGTAAATACTGGTTCAACTAACTCAAAAGGCAATTCTCAAACCAAGCCATCTCAAATCCCAAAGTGACAACTCCAAGTATGAAAAATTTAGGATAAGAGGAACCCGACAAATCAAATCATCTTGAGAGATTGATTATGAGAGTAAAAAGAAATTAAACATGAATTAGGATGAATAGGATGCCACAGCATTAAATAGGAGGGAAAATGAGGAAGAGAGAGAACTCACATAAACAGTGACCACCACAACCAAGATTGTAATTCCCAAATTATAAGAATAAGCATGCATCAGCTTTCTAGCTACAAAAACACAAAATACTGCAATCGGGGCAACGATGAGGAATATGGTCAAAAATAATGACCTCACATCTGGTCCAAATATTAGCTGCCCCTGAAGCAAAAATTTCTGCAGAGTAACAAGCAAAAAATTCATAGTTAATGAGCAGAAAAGGCAATGTTAAATTTACAGCACCATGCCAATTCCAAATCTCAAAAATCTTCCAAAATCTGAATGACTAATATAGAACAATCAAACAAAACTTGACATACATAAAACAAGAAAGACCAAAGACTACCAAAATGCACAAAATGTAAACTCAGATTGCAAAGAATATGGCAAATAGGATATTACAAAATAAACACAGCTTCTACAAAAGAGTAAGTATCAGAATGTATAGATCAGCATCCAGCATTGCTTCCCATTTAACTTGTTTATCTTCAAAGATGAGAAAGATCACTTTAGCGACCAAAAATAGACAGTACATGAGAACATGACCATAGGCAACTTAGAGTCACATTGTGCCATAGAAGTATGTTTTGGTAAACGATTGACAATTGAAAGGAATTGAGAAGAAAATTATAGCAGTTCTATAAACCAAACACTAGTTTATCAGATGCTTCATATAGTATACAATTGTAAACAGTTCACAGTTTGTTATTATCCTCCATTAACACCACCATAAAATGCTAATCAAGAGAATGTAAAAATGTGAAGATTGCCGCAATAATGCCACAACGCAAAGGAAAATTCAATAAAGTTGCGAGAGGCAATCGAAAATACATTCCAACCCCAATTAATTGTAGTCCCCTTCTTACAGGACCATGTCACATCATAAAGTAGTGGCTCCAATGCAAAAACTTAACTTTCCTAGTCATCCAAAGCAAAATCATTCACCATTGTAAAGGCCTCCTCATCTCATCAGTTCAAGACACGACACAAAGATTCAACAAACATTGAGGTTATTTATTCATACAAAAGATCTTATTGAATCAAGATAATAATACTCCACATTCACTATCAGTATGCTCAGCAAAGTACAACAAACTCTCAAATGCAAAGTTCAATCTCCAAGTAAACAGCTACTAGTAGAAATTAGAAAGATATAGAATCACCAAAGATTTAGCTCACATTATTCAAAAACACCCAATTTTCAATTCCCAATTCTCAATAAAGCATACTGAATTCAAAAGCAGCATTCCCATAAATATCTAATTGACATTACAACCAAATCTACCAATTAATATCAAACTAATTAAACAACAAATTCAACACTTCAATACCCACTAAAATGGAAAAAATCCTAGAAAATCAAGAATACCCAGAACCTAAAAATATTTATTTAAAAAAAAAAATCAATAAAAAACAACTTACATTACTGCCTTTCCATGTTTGGTAAACCCTTAAATCAGTAGACCCAGATGCCGGATCCGACTTCTGTGACGGCGGCGGCACAACGTACATGCCTTCCTTTTTTTTTTCCTTTTTCTTTTTTTTTTATTGAGGGGGTGAACCCAACCTTCTTCCCCAAAATGCAAACTTTTCAAACCTCAGAAAAAGAAAAAAGATGAAAACTTTATTCTAGGGTTTTGCGAGGTAGTAACAGCTGAACCATTTGAGACCCACCAATAAAAATAAAAATTAAGCTGAAATCGGCGGCGAAAAAATTAATTGATTCACCGGAAAGTTAAAGAACAAAAATCAGAACAAGGGTTTTGCTTAAATTGAACAAACAAACACCCATAAAATTTGAAAAAAAAAAATAAAAGAAAGAAAAAAAAAGGGAAGAATCTTTTATTTATAATTTAATTAGCTTTTCTGAAATGTTTTCCCAAGAATGAGTGAAGAGTTTGGTGGTGGGAAGGAGAGAGAAAATGAGAAAGAAAGGAAGAAACTTTACAGGATGTTCAAACTAATTTGATAACGTGACTTGCTCTGTCTGGTCCTATTTCGACAGCTTTTCAAATGGGAAGGAACTTCAGTACTACGAGTACTATATAATTTAATTTTTGTACCTAATTAATTTGATTTAATTAGGGGTTTATACACTTAAAAATGTTGTAAATATAGGTAATTATATTGTTTCTATAAACAAAAAAGTTTTTAACACCTTTGGTTTGCACTCTTTGCAGTAGTAAGCTTTTTTTTTTTTTTTTTTTTTAATCTGTATTATGCTTTGACTTGTCAATTAGCAACTAATCAACAAGACTACCATGATTGACTTTTTTTATTGTCAAATGTATTGTCAACCTTTTATTTCGAAGCCTAAATAAAAACAAAAGTTTTTTCTCAAAAAAATCAATAGCTGAAAGCATAAGAAAAAATAAGATCATAACTCTTGATATCATCTAAGTAAAATAAAATTTAAACCATGTTTTCCATTAGTTGTTTTTTTAAAAATATTGATGATAACATCATTGATCTACATGCAACACACAAAATGCATCCCAATATTAAATAATACGAGTAGCAATGGTCACTTCGCTCATACACGTCTCTCTGGTAATCCAATCCTTTATAAAATTTCCAGCATTAAGTAGTTGTTCTTTTTAAACCTCCAATATAACCTACGGTTGTCATCACTATTGCAACCACCATTCTTACCCTAACAATTGTGTTTATTCTAAAAAAAAAAAAAAGAAGACAAATGTGTTTATTTGTTTTGCTCTCCTTGACCCTTTCTCAATCACCATCAATACCACCATTGAGGAGACCAATTGGTAGCTATGGAAATGAAATGAGATAGAAAGACATTGTTCTATATCCACAACATTTTCTCCCTTATACGTATACGTGTTTCTTTTAGAAATTTTGAAATTTTATATAGTTGCTTAATTAAAGTCTTTTTGGTCGAATCTTAATCTAATAAGATGACGAAAACTAATATAACTAATTTCAATACTTTTTTTTTCCTGGGATAAAAACTAACTTCAATGGCTCAAATAATCATTCACTCAAACAATTAAGGGGGTATTTGGTTCATCAAGTTGGAATGCATTGGTATAAAATCTTATACTAGAGAGATATGGATTTTAAATCCCATACTAGTCTAAAGTTGTTTGGTTTTATTATTGAATGAATTATATTCTTCATTAATAGAATGGATTGTGAATCTTAGGGGGAGAAGTGGGTATGGGGGGAAGTTAGAACCCCTTGGGTATGAGATTCCAATACTAAAAAACTAACCAAACAAAAAACTAGATGGAATAGATTCTAACTCCATTGCAACCCATTATAAATGATCCAACCAAACGACCGCTAATTTTTTTTCATTACTTAGGTCAATATTAACCTTAAAATCCATGCTTTGTATTTTGCTTGATAGGTTGTGACTTTGTGAGATTTTAAATTTTGGTGCTCTACTGTATCTTCCCATATCCTTTATATTTTCAACATAAAGGTTATCTATTCATTAGATGGGAATAGATGAAATTCCATATCCACATAAATCTAAATAACCTGATTCAAGTGACATTTCCATATGAATTTGACCAATTATTGATGATTAAATCATCAAAGAGGATGAACAATATCAGATTCAAACCTAAGAATATCGCTATTTTATCCAGTTTCATACGAAGTATGTATGTCATTCAATAGTTTCCTACACGGTTCACATCTTCAGACAAGGACAGAAATAAATCAAATAATAGCTTGAGTAAACAATAATCCATCAATAAGCATTGCACTGAAAAGCTTAGCTTCACACGACAAAATGCATGCCACAATGGAAACTTGACAATGGCATGGAGTTTGTTAATCTATACTAAATCCTAGTTTCCTACAATGTATTTTTTTTAAATAAAAATAAAAAAATAAAATAAAATAAAAAACTGAGCTAAACTAGTTTATCATTTTCTATTCCTAACACTTCTAATTCCCTTCAAAACAATGCCAACTTGCAAATATACTCATGGCAACTCTATCTAACTATCCATGGTTATCGATGTATTGCAAGTTCACGATGAACTATATCTCTAGAAAGAATATCTCCAACCAGGTCTTCCAAACTTGAGCCACTTCTACGATTCCTAGTGCATTTGCGCAACCCAACTGCAATTTTCAGCAAGAGATAAGATTACAGTCAAGTGACTTCAGTATTCGCTAGCTATTTTCAGTAAATGTCTCATAAGACTTAAAAGAGAAGATATCTTGCTTGAGATTGTAAATCAAAGATAACTACCTGCTTACACCATCAGAGCCACCACCTGTACTTTGTCGTCTCTTCTCTCTCCATTTCTCTCCCCACAATTTGGCCTCTGCTACAGCCTGCTCTCTATTTACATCAGGGTTCAATGTTTTAGCTGTTTCCCCAGGGGTAGGGCCGATGTCTATAGAAACTCCTTCAGATTCACTGCGAGTACGAACATGCTTCCTAGTTGTCAGATAGCTCATGGCAAGGGCAACATCATGCATGGTGGGCCGAGCAGTTGCTTTCTCTCTCAGGCACATGGCTGCAACCTCTACAGCCTTGTTCAGCGAAGACACAGAGAATTGCCCTTTCAGCCGGGGATCTGCTAACTGCAAATATTTTTTGGGATCTTTCAACAGGGGACGTGCCTGCATCCACAATCAAAACCTTGAAACTCAGACAACTTTCACCTCTTTCATTCCCGCGTTCACTCAAATGTGAAAGTGCTACTTTCAACTGATAAAAAGAAATAAATCAGAAGATACCAGAAATCAGACTTTATTGTGGTAGACAAGGTGAGAGACCATAACCAGCCTAAGATCTCAATCAAGTTAGAGGCACATTGTACAAGATTTTTCCAAACTTTTATTTAGTAAGCTAGCAAGATGATAAAAGCATAATCCTACTACCAATGGTATTAATCATACGACTTTTTTTTTCTAATTACTGCCGAGGCCAAAGGGAAACATTTTAAAGTGCCAATAATTAACTACCATCCATTGAAGATGATGAATACTACCTGAAGTTACCAAGGAGATCTATCTAACATTTAATTAAGCAAAGTCCATAGTTAAAGTGACATAATAATTTTCCAGTCTTCTAGCTAGTTTTCAATCATTCCACTAAGGCTACTACTTAAAAGCAATATGAACTATGAAGGCACCAAAATCTCCCAACAGATTCGACCAGATGACCAGACAAATGAGGAGATACATAATACATGGGGAACAAGTTAAAGAAAATACCCAATCAACAAGAGAAGTTCTACCACCATGACGAGTTGGTTCAACTGCTTTACGTCCGCTGATAAGCTCCAACAAGACCACCCCGAAACTGAATGTATCCGACTGTGGTGTTAATTTACCAGTTAAAAAATATTCCGGAGCACAATACCCATGAGTACCCATGACTCGGGTGGAGACATGAGAATTATCTCCAACTGGACCAAATTTTGCAAGCCCAAAATCAGAGAGTTTTGGGTTGAAATCGTTATCCAGCAAAATGTTAGATGGTTTTAAGTCTCTGAAAATAACAGATGGTTTTGCTTCATTATGCAGGTAGTCCACTCCTTTAGCTGCACCAGCTGCAATTTTCATTCTTGTCTTCCAGTCCAGTGGCTCCTTGTCAGGTGGAAGATCTGCAAAGAGGCCACATTCAGGACATTAACCAATGGTAAAAGAAAGTGATGAGAAGAGCATGCACCACATGCATATGAACTCAAAGTAAAAATAAGATACAAACAATAAACCACTTAAAATGATTTTTCTGTGAATGTACCATGAAGATGAGCTTCAAGGGATCCCATGGGCATGAATTCAAGGACAAGAAGACGCTGAATGCCCTCAGCACAATATCCAATCATATTTACGAGATTTGGGTGGCGCAGAAGAGAAAGCATGAGAATCTCCACTAAGAACTCCTTTTCACCTTGAAGACCAGATGGATTGAGTTTTTTTACAGCAATAACCTGCCAATGATCATGCATATTCAAGAAAAGGAGTTTCAAGACATTATACAGACTAGTAACCCTGAGATTAGAGCTAAAACGATTTACAAGGAATACATATACCTCACTGTTGCTCTCAAGTATTCCCTTGTAAACAGACCCAAATCCACCTTCCCCAAGGAAAGTTTCTCGGTGAAAATTTCTTGTTGCTGTAGCAAGCTCTTGATAGTTGAACACTCTAGCTTTATTTCGTCCATTTCCTACATCATTAGTAACAGGAGACTGCTCTTTGGAATCTACCTCAGCTTTCTGCTCATGTTTATTGGCTTCTGCAACATTAATAAAAAAAAAAATTATGAAGCCCAATGATTAAAAGAAGTAATACAAGCCAATCACACGCTTCAGCCCTCTGAAAAGAACTGAAAACATGAAGAATGCCAATAGTTAAAATTTTATAAAAAATACTTAAAAAAAGTGATGCAAAATTGAAGATTATATACCTTACAAATTAACAATGTAATTCATAAACTACGATACTTATGGTGCTTAAATACTATTCCATATTAAATTCATATACTAAGGGTGCTCACATTCCCAGGTGAGATACCGATAGCTATCAATTATCTACAGACAAATTTTGGTGCAACAAGCAATAAAAAATATAGAACTTCACCAATGATTCTTGGTTACCCAAATCATGTAATATTACAATCTACCATTTCATATATTGGTAAAAGTCATCCTATAATAATAATATAATTAGGCCCTTTAAACACATGTTAGCAAGATGGATCAATACTACCTAAAGATGGGACTCTCACCCCAATTATAGCTTCTCAATATCTAGGCCAATCTCCAAAGGATTGAACTTCAAATTAACAAATATGGAGTACAATTCTTGATGTCAAGGAATAATCTCATTAGAGTTTACAGGGCGAGTAACAATTTGTAGTGATGAGATCGCGGATTACTCATGTATCGATTAAACTATCGGAAAATCCAAAGAAATCATACAAGAACCAATCTAATTACTACATCAACCACCAGTTCAATATCAAAAATCACTTTTCTAATACCAATATCATAATAATGAACCAAATAACATTTCACATTCTACAACTAAGGTATTAAGTAATACCAAAAAGTCTTAACCAACTTCATTACTATCAAATGTCACAATTAAGGCATGTTCTTCTTCAAGCACGCTAGAAATAAAACATTATAATTGACAATTAACAAAAATTAATTCAAATTTCCAAAAATTATCATTTTAGGTTATTTAATTGGACAAGAAATTAAAACGTGACTGAAATAACACTAAAAATTCCTAAAATTTTCGTTTAAAAAATCCTGAATTAAATACAAAACAAAATTTTAATCATGCTAATACTTATTATTAAATTAATTCAAACAGCAACAAATTGAACAGATTAATTAAAATTCGTCATAAAAATAACATATAAATGATCATAGATAAATCTTACCCAAATTACGATCAGGGACAGCAGGGTTTTTAAAAGATTTTAAATTCTCCCCATTAAATTCCTGGTAATTCCTCCTCTTCCTCCACCCAAAACAAAGCCAATCAAGCATTTCTCAACAAAGTAAACCCAAATAATTAAACCCCTCTTCTTTTCTATTCCAAAATTCAGAGGTTTTACAATAAGAATTTCAAGAATTAAAAAATTAATCAAAACCCAAACAATTCAGCATTAATGGGTAATACAGATACAAGAAATGTGATCAAGAATTTGGGTTTTTTTCTGGGTAAATTCAGTAAATTTGCTAGCTTTTTAAAAGGGGGATAGAATTGAAGAAAAAATCAAAGTCAAAAATTAAGAGAGAGAAAGAGAGTGAAACAGAGGAGTATAGAGAGTGCAGTTACAGGGTGAAAGAGGGAGGACATGAGACAATAATAAGAGGAGTTGAGAGTTCAGGCAAAACATGCGATGCCTTAAAAATGAGAATTTTTTTCGTGTTTTCACATTCTGGCTATGCTGTAATATTTATTCCCTCTCACGTGTCCCCCCTTTTTTTTTTTTGTGTGTGTGTTTTTTTTTTGTATTTCATTGTCTCATTTTCCAACCAGCCTCCGGCTCTTGCAGGGGTGGCCCATATGGGCATCTGGTTCGAGTTCGGGTCGATTTATCTTTGATAAAAAGGCTTTGCTGTTTTATATTGTATTTTCCTGTTCAATTTTATTGACATTTACTTTGTTTTACTCTGTTCAGAAGCTTAAAATAATAGAGGTATACTCTCTATTTCGACATAATTGAAACGTTTTATTGGGATTGGGGGTGTAGTTTAAGAACATAATGAATAACGACTATATATTGGGTTGTTTATTTAATGAGTAAATAGTGGGTTTATTTTATATTATTACCAAATGAGACATGTGAAGGTATGAAACTTTAATGAGATGTGTTGGGTGAGTTAAAGACGTAGTGCATCTTCCATTAATAGTCGTGTGTCAATCAAACTAAGACAGTTGAAAGAGATTGATATGGCAGTAATTCTAAAATGGAGTAGACGGATTAATTTTAACCTTTTTTTTATTGAGTATGGAATAGGGTAAAGGTATTCATCTTATTTTCACTTATTTCAAATCTTATAAGTTCAGATAAGATAATTTTAAAAATAAATAAATAAATAAGTTATAATAAAGGTTGTTATCCACATTGAAATTATAAATAAATACCTTTATGATGAAGTGCTATAAATTACAGAAAATGCATGATTATTTGTCAATTAAAATTTGAAAATAAGGAAAATCTTGATTTGAGTATCAAACGGGTAGGAAAATTTTGATTTGAGTAAGGAACAGGTTAGGAAAATTATCATGAAGAATTGTTTAGGATGTAACCTTATTGGATGTATGCATGTATCAAAGCAAGTCAACATCAAGCAGAAGTTGGCCTGTTTAGTCAAAAGTGGTTGCAAGATGGTGATTACCAAAAGTCGACGTAGTACTTTGGTAGTTTTAATACTATAATTAGATTACGTCTTCCATATTTTATCTTACAATTGTGATGATCGATGCCTATATAAACTTATCATACAAGTATTTGTTTGAATGAAGTTACCTGATTCAAGAAATAGCCTTATACTATGTATAAAGTACGCGAAATGTACATTTATTAGTGCATTATTATATATTAAATACAATTATTATTCAATTAGAGTTTTGGTCAAAACACTAACAACTACTGATTTAAAAAAAAAAAAAATCACTCGCTACTTCAATAACTACGGTCAAACACGTCCTTACTATTTCGTTTAATTCCTATTGTGATGAGGATTTCTTAGTATTTTCGCGTAAAAAATAAATAAATAAAGATTGTAAAGTTGCCAAAGGAAAAAAAAAAAAAAGTTTTGAGAGGAAGTTTTGAGTAGCCATTTAATTTTGATATATTATAATAATATACTTCCTCCGTTCTTTTTTACTTGACTCGTTTTGACTTTTACACTATTCATCACCCGTCCTTTGACCATCTTTTGTGAATAATGTGTAAGGAAAAAAATATTCATGTGGGATCTCTTTAAATTCGACTCAATAAGTAGTATTATTATTTATAACTTTTATAAATTTTATTTAAGGAGAATTAAAGTTATTAATCGTTAAAGTTTTACATTGACAAGCGTGATAAAAGAAACAGGTCAAGTAAAAAAGAACGGGGGAAGTACATGATATGAAAGTAAAAGCTACTTAACTACAAAAGTTATTATGTACTCCGATACAAATTTAATCGCATGCAAACTTATTCTCTTCTTTATAAAATTTAAAATATGTTTTTCAGCAATAACCACAATTTCAAATATGTTTTTACAAGTATAAATTATTTTCTTATAATTTTTTTATTTTTTTTGACAAATGTTTTTTTTTATATAATCATTAAAGTTTTCATGTACAACTTTTGTGATTAATTAAATCCATTTATTTTTTTACAAAGGAACCACTTTCTTTGGAGAATAGTATACGTACTAGTGTACTACTCGTAGTTTACTAATAGAGTGCACAAAATAAGAGCTAATCTGTAACTTTTAGAGCGAAAAGCCCAGCTACTTCACCAGCAACTTAAATTCAAATCTTTACCATAATCTTTTGCATTTTCGTGTGGGCAAAGCTAACTAGACCGTAATTTGCGATTTTAATTTGATTAATTATATATGATTCTAAAAGGGCCAAATCTCACAGCATTACACGTTCAAAAAGAGCATGCATACTTTATTCTATGATTCTAAATGCTTTTTTAAAGATTACACCCATAATTTCTTGTACATGAAGCTTAAACTAGATCGGGCAATCGGCTCCTAATTTAAGGCCAGAGCTCTTCTATTCACCTGAAAGGCCAAGGCTCTTGTATTCATTTATAATAAAATTGAATTAAATGAAGCTAAAGATTAGTTTCTCTAATACAATAATAATGGCTTCAAATTGAAGTATACATTAAAATACTCAACTCCCCTCTAATGAATATACGGAATGTAAGCAAGAGGAATTAGCCTTTATATATACCGAGGGTGAAATGGAGAATACCTACTCTTACAAAATTTATATGCCCTCTTGTGTATACTACATTGATGACACTGGAACTTTAACCCCTGTATTTTTCTTTAATCTGCAGTAAGATTGAAGATGTTCTTCATCAATTGTCCCCAAACCAGACAGTCGGACGCCATACATTTTCAATCTGCGAATGTCTCGAGTGATTGGAGATTGCCAAATCCCATCCCACCAGCCTGGTGGAAGAAGTGGCGTGTATGCGCATTGTTTGGGTTGCCCATGGCAACTCAATGGGCCAGCAAATCTGTTCCATGCATGTCCCCATCCTATCTGATTAGTCAATCCATTTCTCAGCATATTGCTATGAAAGCTGCTTAGGAATGAGAAACTGGGGTTTGTGTTGGAAATTTCATCTGAAGATTGGGAGAAAAGGGGTAGAATGTCAGGAGTTATAACATTTTACAGAAAGAATGAGATCAGAAAATATTGTAGTACCGAGATTACGAGCTGCAGCTAAAGCTGCAATTAGCTGGGCATAGGTTGTTCCAACTCGCCTATTGGCCCCCGAAACAACAGCATATTTTGCTCGCGATGCAAGAAAGAAATCCACAAATGCAACCCATCTAGGTGCTGGACCCCAATCCTTGGCCCTAAATGGTAAAGCATGTGATCTGCTGGCCTCGAGAGAAATATTTCTTCTAAAATGCTTGTAATCGAAGTGAAGAACCTGTAGGGCAATTTCAAAGTTAATGCAAAATGTGGAGAAGCTGTGGATCTTCTTCCTAGAGCTTGTGTATAGGGATGTTATATTAGTTCATCCCATCAATGTTCCAAAAACACTAAAGCAGTAGGAATTGAGTGAATAGTATAGCTATTTTAGGTCTCAGATGCATTACATTGGATGTAAAAACGGACAAAATAAACTGAATACCTCAGCAAGTTCTTGTAGACCCGGTTTGATTGTGCTTATGAAAGAGGGGGTATCAGAGACCACGACCACCTTTGGTCTTGCTACCTGTTCGAAGTTCTCCATGGCTTTTCTGATGCAACTTAGTGCAGCTTGCACTGGCCACATTGACCTACACATTGCATGCATCCACAAAATCTCTCATTAATTGGTGATCCAAACACATTGAAAAAAGTGAGAAACTCGATGATGGCAATCAGACAAAAAAATGCCATTGAACATTCAAAATTAAAAGTTATGATTAGCATTAGCTCAAGGCATTTCAAATTTGAAAAACATCATAAGATCATTTACTTTATTCAGAAAATCAATATTTCATGTCCTAGAACTAATATCTTTATTTCTATGTCCCGCTTTGATTACTTTTTTCCCATCTTTTTTTCCTGAATTGGGGAATTGCTAAAGTTATGGTCTATTTAAAGTGGGAAAATCCATACCAAGACGGAATAATTAAAAAAAATATATATATGTTTCAACTACTCTACTGATCATGTAAAATTGACTGGTTGTGCAATGATGATTAACATTTCAAATTCAATGCAACAGGGGTGTCTCCCAACATAATTAACCCTGAAACCTAGTTGCCAGCACAACTTGCTCGAAATTTTCCATTAAGAACAGGAAGATCTCATGGTTGTCAAGATCTGCCATATTGGGATTTCACAAGATCGCAATTATATTAGTGCTATTTGCTAAGCAAAACCTCTAGTTCCTTTCTTTGAATCTAATCAAAACTTAGAGAGACACATCATGTTTTCGAGCCTCCACTGTGTGAGATAGGTAATTAAGTAGTCTTTTTCTGAGTTAGCCAGCCAAGAAAGCGTTGTTGGTTCCTTTTATCCTGATTCTCATTTGGGGTTTCTAGGATTGTAATATGAGAGGGTGATTCACATAAGAACATTGATATAATTTCAGGTGTTCAGCTGTATTTGACAGTGACCATGTGGCATGCGCAGATGCGCTCATGGCAGAACAAAATATACCTTGGGCAGCCATGATGCTTCTGCCTCTACCTCACACTCACCCCCCTCTTCCTCCTATGCCTCTTTCTCCATAGTAATGTTAGTATTGTGGTTTACTTTCTTGAATTTGTCTATATTTTACATTACATACAGAATGAAATTTTCTGATGGAAATTCTAATACCAATTAATAGATATGAACAGGGTTCCAGATTTCACATTACTTTAAAAAGAAAGGAAGTGCAGGGAACTCAAAGCCACAAGTATGTCCTAACTCAACGAATTCACCTTGTATGTCTAATAGAATACTGCCAAATGAAAGACTAGCATCACTGTCACCTTGTAACCATTGCTTATTATTGCTGATAATAATATGAAATATTGATTTCTAAGAAAAGCTAACTTCATTATAGTACCTGCTTGTCAGCATCCGCATGTGCAATGTGATATCTGGCTCTTCACCACTGGCAAGAACAGACTTTACTGCAGCTTCAATACTCTCGGAAGGAGATATAAGAACTCGCATCAACTCTCCAAAAACATTAGGTCTAGTATTAAGTTCTGGCTTTCCAAACAACTCGTAAGCTGCATTTCTCATCTCAGGATGTACATTCTTCAAGAAAAACTGAGCTGCAACAGCATCTGTTGTATTTTGCAACCTATGATAAAAGAAAAGACATACCATGTTAAATCAGCACACTATTACATCTAACAAGAGAAATGTTTTTAATTTTACCAAATGATAGGCTGCTGCCACTTCCTCCAGTTGCTGCAGAGGATGTCTGTACGCAAAGGCTTTTGAAAATCATCAATGCGAACAACCAAATGACGACCATATTTTGCCACACAACCATTCTTTCTCCACAAATGTTTGACTTCTTTCAGGGTAAACGAGGCATTGCTATAAGTAATATAGTCCTCAAAAGGATACATTCCCCTGAAAAAAAGGACGAGTACAATTAACACTTGATCAAGACAGAACAGTGGTCATCAAAAGGTTTATGAATTTATCTCAATTTCCTATCAAACGGTCAAGTAGGCTATAGATATATTCAACTCGTTATGATATCCAAGGTTGAACTCATCAGAATTCCTAGAATAGCCTAGCCTACCTACTACTAATAACAGTATGCAAAACCGACAAAGAGATCGGTCTCCTACCAGCTATAATCAAAG